AGAGAGAGAGAGAGAGAGAGAGAGAGAGAGAGAGAGAGAGAGAGAGAGAGAGAGAGAGAGAGAGAGAGAGTGTGTGAGAGCTCAGGAGAGTGCGTGGTGTGAGATCGATTGGTACAAGTCTATGGATTTATCGAAACACTGCACTTGTTTGTGATCTGATGTCCGCTATCTTGTTTTGTGGAGTTTTCACGTGATGCATTGTGCCATTGTATACTTTTTTTTTTCTCAGGCGTACTTAGACCTAATTCTAAACTCCAACGAGGTCTAAAACTGGCACAAAGCAAGTCATGCCATATTTTTACCAGTGTAATCTTTAAGATGGAGCTGTCAAATTTATACGCAGTCGAATGCATCGTATCAGGTCGAGTAATAGCGCCTCCTATTGCAGACTTTTACTAACTGACTTTCCCTTTACCTCATCAAATTTGACCTGAAGGACAATAAGGCATATTGCATTCCGCTTTGTAACAAAGATCTGAACCCTGCGATGTGTCTTAGCCCTCTGATTGTAGCCTATGATAGTCTTTGAATCCACGTGACACAGAAAATCACATATTTTTGAACTTCGGAGGGTTCAATTAAATTGTACCAAAATGGTAACTTTCGCCCCTCCATAAAGGATAATCTGACCTCCCTCAACTGTATCTAAACTGTCAAATGTGGATTTGTGCAATGTGCACTGGGTGTCAAAGAGATGGGTTGCATGTGGTCCCTCATTGCTCTATCTCACGAGACGCTACCTCCACCAAGATCCTTTCCTCTTTCTTCCATCACATATTATTCTGTTCTGTGGTCTATAATGGTGCGCTGAGCCTCACCTGTTTCAGGTCCAGAATAAATCACTTTAGATACAACCTTTAGTATACTGAACAAGCTGGGCCCCCATTCGATGAAAGAAATGATCGGTGCTTTAATATCAAAAGTCATTGGCCTACTATATTTACACTCTACTGGAATGGGGCAATACATCTTGAGAGATGAAAAAAATTAGAAGGTCTAGATCTATACTCTCAAAACAAAAAGCGCCTCGTGAAATTTCATTTCCGGATTTTCTAATATAGAAATTTAGCTTTTTGTAGGTTTTGGGTTTTTGTAAAGTGTTTTACGGCGCTCGCAACTGCATAAGGTCATATGAGCGCGCGGGACACACCTAATACTTTCAGTTGGTAGGAAATTTTGAATTTTGCCCGGATGGCGGCCGAGGCCTACTCTTATCGATTTTAGACCATCAAGGGATCTTTAACGTGCGCAACTTGCACACGGGCCCTCCGAGATTTTTCGCCCTAATTTAGCTTTTGGCAGCAAAACTGTGCCTAGACTGAAATAACGAAGGGCATCATGCTCTGGAGAATATTTTAAAGAATCTTTTGGCCAAAACCGCATGTCGATCGATGCAGCCATTAAAAAGCCTTTTGAATAGCAAAATTCGGCCACCACAAATAGATAATAGATAACAAAGAAAAAAAATGACACGCACAAAACAAACAAGCAAACAAACAGAGAAACAAGCGAACAAAAAAACAACAACCAACAACCCAACAAACAAAAAACAAAAACAGACAGAAGGAAAAATAATCATTGCAGACATATTTTACAAAGTGTGCAAACTCAGTGACCATGAACTGGTTAAATTACTACTTTTTTACAAACACATTCAGCCTCATAAAAATGACTTTCTTTATTACCACTAACCACCGACACCCGTCTAACATTTAAAAAATTCACTTCTAGCTCAATAGGATGAAGTGCTTCCTGCAACCTCATTTAGTTCCTCTCTACCAACATCCCAATCTTGGCAACTTCCTAAGCTGTGCGAAAGCTACAACACGTCTTCCATTAACACAAAACAAACTCTCGATAGCCTTTTTTAGACCACCCCCCCCCTTTCAGCTAACTCAGGCGTGAAAGTTGCCCCCACATAGCAATACAAAATGTGTAGACCTCCCACGACCCACAAAACCTGACAGTAAAATCTGTGTAGAGGGCCTCCCCCGCCCCCATCCCACTAGACATGAGAGTAACAACTGT